GGAGGAAGAAGTTAAGGCCGAAACAAATTGCTAACTCATTTTCCGCGCTGATAAAATCCATCCTGAGCATGGCTCTGTGTTTGCTAGGTAACAGACTCCATATTTATCCAATGTGGCTGAATTTTGGATACGTTATAGTACACACCCATTGGACCAACTTTCATGAAGAATGCAGCCTTATCCGAGCTATGTAGGTTGCTGAAACAAAGCTTGCAATATGACCTACGAAACTGGACTGGCAGGGGGCTGTAGCCAAAATGAGTTTGTCTTTAAGCTCTTCTTCCCTTTATCCAAATCAGGCTTTAACATGCATGGATTGCATCGTTTCCTATCCAAAGACATCATTGTTCCCTAAAGCTGAAAGATAAACACAAAAAGGATTAAAAGCACAAGTTTAACTCAAAAACATAACCAAATCATAAGCTAGAAGGGTACAAAATGATATACAATTATGAACCGATCAAACTTAAGCCACTACATTTTGTCACCCGTTATAGCGTCAAAGTAAAAAAGCTGTCCATGATGATCTCACAAGTAGCCAGGTATACTTACTTGCATTGTCGACTTCTTTGCTTTTCATTTTGTCTTCACCAAACTTGACTAATTCGCAACTTGAATTTTCATAGTGGGGATACCAAAATGTTAACTTGTCTTGATAATTGAATTAGTCTTTCAAATCTTGGAATCATTGAATTCGATGGAAACCCTTGTGAAAAAGAATCTGCTTAGTAATTCACATTTGTGTCTACATCACTCATCACGTGACACAATAACTTAGATTCTCTTATCATGTAATGTAAACATAAATGAAAAACTGAGTTGATTATTTGCAAACAATACGAATTCTTACTGTGTCACTGTTTATACCCGAAACAAACAGCCAATAAGAACAAAACACGTGGAGGAAATTGAGCTTGGTCAGGGAAGCCCTCAACACCCTACCTACCGATCATCCCATTAGGGCAACACACTCTCCTGGGACACGTGGCATGCTCCCCTGCGACGTTTACAGTCCTACATCGAAATTATCAACAAAATGCACACCTCCCAAGGCCTATAAAAGAGGCCAACTACCCCAAAATAGAGGTAATCAGAACTTACGGCATACAAGCCTATTGATTTGTCAGTTGAACTTTCTAATCCCGAACTTACTTAAGCATCGGAGAGCCTTCGGCCGGTACCACACCGATGCCCTAGGTTTTACCGAGCGTTTTCTCATATTGCAGATCACGCTCCCTACCGAGGCATCAAGGATACCGAAGGCACAAAGTTACTAAGTTGACCCTTAAAGTAAAAGAACCACTTTTTGGCGTCAAAAGTCACTAGCTGAGATTCTTCATGGTGAACAAATGTAATTGATGTGTGTAATTTTTTCAATGTCGAATGTTGAACGTAATTGATGTTTCCTTGTAAGAATTGCCAATTAGGCTTGCAAATTGAAATATGGTTTAACACTACTGATATTAATTGGCATACCGTAAGACAAGACAACATTACTCTTGAATCCAAAGTATGTCAAGTCGTTTTGCTGGGAAAATGATGTTGATCTAGATCCAATGTCGTTTGGTTAAATGTATGTGTCTGGACTTTAAAATTTCTCCATCATGTGGAAGTCTAAGTAGTCATTTGTCTTCACATGATGCAAGTACTGACTATGACAATAAGCGGTGTCATGTCACGTCTTCCTTGGAGTCGTTTCAAGTCCTTACAAAACATCTCAGCTAAATATAAAAAAGTCTTTGTAAAACATCAAATTCATAGGGTATACTAGTGATTTACCCCTTAAACTTGTACCTAATTTTCGATTTTCCCCATATCCTTTTTTTTTAGAAAATTAAGGAACCGAACTAATTTTTTTCGCCAATGTACCCCCAACGTCAAAATTTGACACTTTCCATCCATTCTGCCTTTAAATTGAAGGTTAATTTAGTCATTTTGTGTCTCCACTAAACTGAACCCATGCTTCACCTATTAGTTCCTTCGTTTTGGCTCTATTTTTCCTCCAAAAAATTTCCCTCTATTTTCCCAACCTCCATTTTCGTACCCTAAACCAAAAGGGGATCTAGGGTTTAGGAGAAAACCCAAAATATTAGGAGATGAGGAGGTCTTTACCTGGCAGAGGTCATGGAGGTCATGGGTCACAGAGGTGGAATGCCGAAGGTGAAGAGGGTAGTTCATGGATGGTGCCTTCAGTCGTTTGCTACTGTGGTAAGATTGCGAAAATCCAAACATCTTGGACTGCTGCACATCCAGGGAGGAGGTTTTACATCTGTGGGAGGGTAAGTTTATAATTGAAATTTGGTTTGCAGATTTGAAATTTGGGTTGCTAAGTGGAAATTTGGATTGATGCACTTTTTTTCTTATGTTTTTTTTTTGGGTATCAATTTGTTGGGAGGAATGTGCAGAATAGATGTAGATATTGGGAATGGGGTGACCCACAAATGTGTGAGAGGTCGAAGCAAATTATACCTGGGCTGCTACGGAAAATAAACATGTTGGAAGATGCAAAAAAGTCTCGGCCAGAGAAGCTGAAAAAGAACCCTTGGTTTTGGGTGTCTTGTTTGTTGTTTGTGATAGTTTTTTGGTTGATGTATGGGAAAGGCAAAGACAATGAAGGGCTAGAGAAGCGTATGTAATCTGTCCTATAAATAGGCAAAGACAATGTCACCTGCCGTGTATCAATTGTGTTGCAGATGTGTAAAACATGGACTTTTGGTCTTTTTGTTGAATGTAATGGCATGTATGAGTTGTGTTTTGACAATTTTGTTTCCAATTGGAAAAAAGGTCATATAAGCAAGCAAACAAACATAACTGTTGCAACAGTATTAAACCAAAACATATGTTCCAACACGAATCCAAGCAACACATGTGTTCTAACTGTAATCCAACCAAAACATTTGTGTTCCAATACTAATCCATTGAAATCAGTATGAGAATCCTAGGACCATATCAGCTAGAAATTCATCAAAATAAAATGTTCCAAAAAATATCCATTACATAAGCAGTCCTAATGTTTTGGTGTTCCAAAAAACCAAAATCAGCAAATCTCAGCTACACTCTCCATGGCCTTGGTCTTTTCAGTAGAGGTACATTTTCTGAGTTTGGTTGAGAAGCATGCCCAATTTGAATTCCTGGTAAGGTAGCACCAGTTTGAGCAAGATGCCTTGTTAGTTCAGACATTTGCCCCCCTCTTCTCGCCTAATTGAATGACAAAAATCAGCAAATCAGTCCAAATTTGGTTTAAACATTGAATGTAAGTATTGAAACCAAATCAGTACATATGCTATTACCCCAAGCTTTGTTCTTCTAATAGGTCTATCTTGGATTGAAGTGTCAGCTTGATCTGGTTGTCTGACAGGAACACTTGGCATACTTGTTCCCCTTCCCCTGCCTCGAACTCTTATTGCCCTTCCCTTGCCTCTAGCTTGTTCCTTGAACAAAAAATTAAAACAAAAGTTTATAACAAATAAAGGACCAACTTGCACCTTCAACAAAGTTCATATCAACAGACATAATCACAAACTTGATACCTGTCTTCCACCTCTTTCTCCAGTATGACCTTCAGCTCCACAAGTTGCAGAGTTGTGACCTTCACCTCCACAAGTTTTACAAGAAATGAGAATCCCATATCTCTTCAGCTTTGTTGCATTTTTTCGTATCTCATCAGGTTCCTTTTGCCTACTTGTTCTAGGCCTTCCCGGTTGTTTGTGGTAAAGAGGTGGCTTGATAGGTCTATGACCTGTTTTTCTCTAGTATTCTTGACTAGGCATTGGAGATATATAACTCTCATAAGCCCTGTCATATGCACCTCTTTTGTAAAGTGAATGTAGAAAGTCATAAGGGCTCTTCTCTGTTCTGGCAATTGCAGCCATAGAATGTGAACAAGGGATTCCACATAAGTCCCACTTTCTGCAAGTGCAGGTGTGCCTCTCCAAATCCACTACATACATTCCACCATGGATGTTATTAACTTGATATTTCCCCCCACCAGCATATGATGCTATGCATTGAGCACTCTCAGTTGTTAGCTTCTCAACAATTCCAAAAATCCTAGGACCAACATCATGTGTCCAAACAGTTTCTCTAAGTCTAGCCATTCTTAGCATCAAATAACTTCGAATTCTCTCTAGTAAGGTCAGAATAGGCTTATCCCTTGCTTCAATAATAGCTGAGTTAAAAGACTCACACAAGTTGTTAAGAAGCATATCACACTTAGAATGAGTACTGAAGTGTGACCTACTCCAATGATTTGCTGGCCTTTCCTGAAGCCATCTGTAAGCTGCATCTGATTGAGATAACATCTTCTCCATTTCAGCTTCAAATGTGGGTATTGTAGTTGATCTAGCTGCTGCCCACAATCTTTGCTTCAATGCTAGTCCACTGTGACCAGCAATCTTAAAATTATTGTGGAGGTGTCTAACACAATGCATGTGTTCAGCAGTGGGCATCAAATCCCTAATGGCTTGCCCCAGACCCTTTTGCTTATCTGACATGAACACCCAACCATTACCATTTTCACACCCAACATCAGCGAAGAAAATATCCATAAACCATGTCCAAGTCTCGGTATTTTCTACTTCAACCACAGCAAATGCGATAGGGTACATCCCATTATTCGCATCAATACCAACTGCAGATAAAATCTGTCCTGGATGAGTTCCCTTCACATGACAACCATTGAAACCCACAACTGGCCTGCATCCTGCAATAAAGCCCTTCTTCAATGCTCCCAAACATATATATATTCTTTTAAATACTGGGTTGTCCCCACGCAAATCAGTCTTGATTAATACAGTGCTGCCTGGATTGTTTGTCTTCAACTCTTCACAGTAATCCCACAATTTTGCGTACTGTTCTTCAATACTTCCATGTATTCTCTCTCTAGCTATGCTCTTGGCTTTGTAAAACTGGTTTGCAGTGATATCTATGCCATAATTCTTCCTCACAATCTTCATGAAATCCGTCACAGACATATTATGATTATCTCTCAAATCCTCATCAAACCTTTGAGCAAGCCAAGAAGAAGTGGCAAACTTGGTCTTCTGCATCCTTCCACATGAATGCTTTGGTTGATATGTCTTGATCCTAGTAGTAGGCCCTTTGCCCACATAAGATGCATATAGCAGCCAATCACACTTGACATCCCTCTTTTCTTTACCCTTTTCTCCACTATTTTCTCCATTTTCTTCTCCACCATCATCTTCAGCACTTTGTACACATTTTTTTTCTTTTCTGCATTTCTTTTTCCTAAACCCTTTTTTTAGCCTTTCCTCCACTTCCACACACCACCCTAACCCTGTGAGGGTCATTCTTCACCCATCTCAGTGGCCTAGCACTTGAAACTGCATAGAATCTTATGGCCTCCCTACATTGTTCCATGTTAGCAAACTCCATGCCAATATGAAATACTGGATTAAATAAATCAGTATCCCTTTTGAATTGCTTGAACCTAGGAGCTTTTCGTCTACGACTAACCTTTTTCACACCTGGATTTTCATCAACTTCATCTCCCTCTTCTGAAACACTTAGAAGGTCCTCTGAATTGTAGTCATCACTTGGAACTTCACCAGGTTCTCTCTGTGGTTCTTCAGCAGCTTCCTTCACTACATGCGTATCAAACCATGTGTCATCTTCTGCTCCCTTTTGTCTCTCTTGTTCTTCATCTGTTTGCCCATAGTCACTATCTATGAACTGCAGGCGCTCTTCGTCATCATCCTCTGCATCAACATTTACAGCTTCTTCCTTATCTATCTGCTGCTCCTCATCTTCCTCTTCAGCTTCATCATCGGCACCATCAGCAATGTTCACATCATCTTGTACATCTACATGTATCAATTCTGGTTGAAGCAAATTCTGAAAGTTAAATACATCTGCAGAGGCTTCAGTATCTCTATGTGGTTCTGGATTTTCTGTGATGTACAAACCGTGAACCCTTGATGCAGGTATCTCACGCACAAAATCAAGCACATCCAAGTCTCCTCGAATTGCCACATAACCCAATGTTGTGGACCTATAGCGATAATCGACTTTTATGTGGTTGTATCCTAGTGATTCAGCAACATCATATAAGTCCTGCATTGACAACTGATCTGTATTACAATTGTCTGCCCATTGGACAGTACCTCCCACATGCTTTCCTTTTTTAAAATACCCTCCATGGTGAATTTCAATTGTAAATAACTCTGGATCACCTACAAACAACAAATAATTAACTCAACAACTTCAATTTACTACAACAAACGTACCAATCGGCACTAGCCTTTACTAACATTAGCCACACACAGACAAACCAACGCACATGCTTTACTTTGGGACCACACTTTTCTATTCTAAAAATAATCTTACAGCAAGGCAAGAAGATGGAAAAATTCAATTCTACAGACAACCTACGGACCACAACCACTTAAACAATGAAAAGAAAGGGAAAGATGAAGACTTATTATACTTGGGAGGCTGCCCACTACTCCGTACTTCGACAGGTATCTTTCTTGGTCAATACAGGTGTGTTGCTTCAAGATTTGTATGACAACCTCACCGATTTGTCAACGTCAGCCACTATGCAGGTCGATTTCGTGAAATCCCCAATTCCCCCAAACTTTCGAACCCTCTGATCTCAGTCAGTTTGTTTGCTTCTTCTTCTTTTTTTCTCTGAAAGTGACCTAGCCTCCTTCGACTTTTGGATTTACACTGGGTTGACTTGCGTGGACACGCGAAAGGACTAAAGTGCCCTCCATCTTCACGGCAGAATGGATGGAAAGTGCCAAATTCTGACGTCGAGGGGCACATTGGCGAAAAAAAATAGATCGGTTCCTTAATTTTCTAAAAAAAAGGATAGGGGGCTAATTGAAAGTAAGGTACAAGTTCAGGGGGTATTTCACCAGTATACCATATATTAATTTATGTTTTAGGTACTAGTAGTAGAAAAGTAGAATTGTGTACATGGGTTAAGATTGCGTTTTAGGTATAGTTGATGGGGTAAGAGGGACAGACCATAGAAGGTACTAACCTGGGCTATAGTCCAGGCGATTTTTAATTTTTTTCAGCCCAAAATACATATAGCATAGCACATCACCAATTGAAAAAATATTTTTAAAAGCAAAACTCAATTATACCCTTTTCTAACCTATTCTCTCTCTTCTACCGAACAACCCACTCAAGTAAAAATTTTTTTTTTTTCCTCCTGTTGGCATTATGGATGCCAAAGCTCAAACCTAGGTTGAACATGCATTGAACTTATCCCAAAAAAAAAAAAAAGGCCTTCTTAACACTCACTGGTAATGAAGTTTTTTGTTCAGTTGAAGTGAATGTTTCAATCATAGCTTGGTGTATTTTTTTTGTTATAAATGATTCACTTATACTATTGAGTTTTCTATCTTTTTAGTAGGTTTGTACATTAGGTAAATTTAGCCCACCTTATGTTGAAATCCCAGGTCCGTCTCAGCTTGGTTGGTTTGTTTGTTTGTTTGTTTTTTTAAAAAACAATCTATAGTTTTGAGTAGACTGAAGGGGTATTGAATTGTGTTTTTTGCTTAAAGCAATAGCAACAATATGAATGTATATATATATATATATATATATATATATATATATATATATGTATATATATATATATATGTATATATATATATGTATATATGTTGTGTCAATTACATTTTAGTATAATGTGGTTTACTCCAAATTCCCAATCTATAATTTAACATCAACAAATTTAGGCACCAAATGTTTTTAAATATTTTTCTTTAGCTAGATTTAACTAATATAGAAGATGTGGTACATTTCTAAAATTTGGATCTTTTTTTAGAAAAAATTGTATTTCATTAAACCGAAAGGAACATTACATGGTAAAAACTAGCATGTTAAAGGCGGCCTTGTTTCCCGGAGAAACAAAATCTTGGAGTAAGAAAGAGTAACACCCATGCTATTGACTAAACAAAAGAGTCAAACAACTTATACGAAACAAACCAACCTAAACCCCAACCACAAAACCCTTAAAACAACATCCCATCACTACGTAGGTACTGTCAAAGAAGCCCTCCTATGATCTAGAAAAAGCATCATAGTTATTCCTACATAGTAAAAAACGTACTATGGGTATCAGAATAGATCCAACGAATCACCCAATCGCAAAACCATTGAAACACATCTCATCACTACGCAGATACTGTCAAAGAAAGCCTCATATGATCTAAAGAAAGCATCATAGTTCTTCGTACATAGTTAAAAACGTATTGTTAGCATCATAACAGATCCAGCCAAACACCAACCGCCACTTCCAATTTTCTTGATCCAGAACCCCAGTTGACAAGCAAGGGAGACCAAGATTGGCCTCTTAGCTTGAAGAAAATTCCAAAGAAAGATCTTCATAGTAGGAACGTTCATCAGTTGCCAAGCCCACGAATGTTCCATAGGAGAATTATTAGGGAGATCTTGTAGACCCCTTGAGGCTGGTCTCCTCCACCTTGTCAACAAAATCCTCAATACAAAAACTATGCTTACCAGAAAAATCCATGCCACTAACAATTAGATGCCCAACACCATTTTTCGCACACTTCTGATTCCCGCTTGGTGCCACATACTTGTCATCCCCTTAAGTAGAAGAGGCAGTGGACATCTCCATAGTGTTAAGATGGAGACCCTCACTAGCGACTGGCTCCTTGGGAACCCAAAAAGGAAGCCAATGTAGCCACCCCACGGAGAACAAAAGAGCCCCAAAAAAAAGAACTTTATACCCAATTCACCAAAAAGAACCCAAAGAGACAATCAAAGAAGATTGAGAAAGACGGCGCAGAGAATGAGTAAAGAAAACTGGAGAAACCCTAACCTTAGCCGTCAATGCTCTCCTAGCGTGAACGAGAGAGTGACCCAAACCCTGTGTTTTTCTAAAATATGGATCCTTATTAATCCAATTAGGGCTTATTTTTGGGCTGATCGAATCGGAATTAGGGGATTCCAATTTCATTCCAAAAAAATTCGAAGTGACAATTCTTTTCCAATTCTTTTGAAATTTCAACATCCATTCTAATTATTTTAAAAAAACCTCTGAATTATAGGAAAATTTTTTGTACATGTTTCGATTTTTTTTGTTGGGAATTTTAGGAAAATCATTGACAATTTTAAACATGTCTAACAATTTGAAAGGTTAAAATTGGCTCAAAATTGAAAAATCATACGGAGAAGCTTGAAAAACTATTATGTGCTATCACTTATATGTTGTTGTCCTTTATTCAATAGCTCGTCTATGTCTATTTAGTTATTATATCATATCAAATTCAACATGAAACTAGTCATTATGTGTAGTCTAAGCTTGAATCCTCAATACATTTCGAAATATATACATTTTGAAATCTTGAATACATTCCAATTCTAATCCAATTTTTTTTTTCGCAATTTTGGATTTCAAAACTTTTGGATGTTGGAATTAACTTGGACTCACCAAAATTAGAAATTTTCTAATTAAAATCGGTCGAAATCGGAATTTCCATTCCAACTTGCTTTTGAAAATGACTTGTTTCAAATGGGGGAATCAATAGCAGATCAAGATGTTGTCGACTTAAGAAGTCAAAGAGAGATAGTTGTGAGTTTTCAAGAGTGAAACACAATCTTCTTTCAAAGTGGTTTAGATTGAAACTAATCTTGAGAATCTTGTACTAGCATCCTTGTATTCTCAAGATACCTCTTCTCATCTCAAGGTTCCATTGGTGTGGAGACTTAGAGGCCATATACTTTTGTGGCTCACAAGGAGGAGAAAGATCAAGAGGAGATCAACAAAGGAAAATCATCAAGAGAAGACCAAAACACAACTTGGTTCATATAATTGCTTCAAGGGTAATTAGATCTTATCCTTTCTCTTGAATTTTCATTTATGAAAAACATATCAATGTTCATGGCTTAAGATACTTGGAAGAAGTTTTGTTTTTGAATTTAAACAACCACCATATTCTTCCGCTGCGATTAATTTGATTAAATGCATGTTTAATATTCAAATGAACTTCCTAAAAATGTTTTAAAACCAACAATTGGTATTAGAGCCATAGGTCATGAACTTGATATGTTTCTTGGGTTTAGAGATGCATATGTGGGTTGTGAATTCATTTAAAAGTATAATAGTTATACTTGATTTAT